CAGTAAACTTGGACTAAAAAGATATTTAATAATGCTGATGATTATTGCTCCTTCAAACAAAATAAAGCTGGAAAAAAAGTATTTAGTATTTTACAATCCATTTTCTCGCCCCTTATAAATCTCATATTTAAGAGATTATGTATAATTTGATTTCTCACATCATATCTTAGAGAATTTTTTATGGTATTTTAAATATGAGAAAAAAAATCTTTGAATAATTAAAAATGTTTTCGAAAGTGCATTTTCAGGATGCATTTTTTTTTTTTTTAAATCATGTTTGAAATCAGAAATACAACTACCATTTAGTACCAGATATGTATATCTGATTTCTGTACATACTACGTAGTAAAATACAATTTGATTAAATACGAAAGAATCACAAAATACGTACAAATGCTCATAAATATTATGTTCCAAAATACGATATACAAAATATTCCTCAAAGTGTTATCCAAATAATCCAAAATATGAAAACATAATAGTACTATAAACAAAATGTATCTAAAACTATCAGACTACTGAGTATGGCGGATAATGAGTTGGCATGTGATATTCACAACATTCCTCCACTGTCGTCTATAACACATAGTCTCCCCAGTCTCCACCATGATGACATCTAGAACACCTCTAACATCAGAGTCATCAGGAAACAGACCTTCATCAATACCCGTCTGCGCGATCTGCATGATACGATGGCACCTAGACAACACATCATGAGTATGATCGGTCCTAGCCTGCTCCTCTTCTAGAAGCTCCGCATGTGCTGGTCTAGGTGGATTACCTAGAGCCTTATGTACCAGACATGGATGTGACACCTTGAAGAATCATAAGACATATTCATCCTCATAGCTCTAGTCTTTTGGTGCTATGGTACTCCGGGTCTCATCCAGTACGAGATGGTTAAGATAATCATTAAATATGTCATCCATATTCCTCTATTTCACCATGAGAGGGGCACGCTCAAAGGGTGGTCTGGGAATGTGTTGCATGTATCTGAATTGTCGCATCATGCACTCATACAAATAAGCAATCGTCTTGCATGACCCGCGTGACAACCACCCAGTAAACAACATAATATCGTCAAAGGGAATCGTCTCACGGTGAGCCTCGTATGCATGGAAGCATATATCCTCATAGGTCAGGCAGTCTATATACATCCTGAATGACTTTGTCGCCTGGTTCCCTCAGAGTGGATCGAATGAAGCGGCACGTGACTGAATCTCAGTATATGTAGGCTCAAGTGACCATCCGAATATGTGAGGGAAGTGTTGTAGGATCCAGGCCTGAAATGTTACCATCATTAGTAAGTAACGACATCAAAGTAATTTACATAACAAGACAAAAATAACATAAGAATAAGAAATATTACTGTCAAAAGTGTGATGATATCGTCAAAAGTGTAACGTCTTGGGACAACTTCTGGTATAAATACACCAAACAAGCTGCACCTCGGTTCCACTCAGAGATCCGTTGAAAATCGTTAAAGAACCGCAGGTATATGATATTAGTGTAAGTGGCACTATTGTCCACAAAAATATGCGTGCCAAAAAGATACAAAAGATATGTCCTCATAGCACGTGCTTTGTGTTGGGCTACCTGCAGATGGTCACCATCAGCCTACCGTGCATGCCCTAGCTTAGCTGTGAACACCTTCTGCAAGTAACTAAATTTGACATGACACTCACGAGTTTTGTCAATCTCAACCATAACACTCTCTGGAGTAACTACTAAGTACTCCACGAATATATCCAGCGCCTCCTCTTTGGTGCACCTCTCATGATCTAAAAACCTTCCTCTAATCAGAAGGTGCAACAGACATGCGACATCGTCCAGTGTGATTGTTATGTCACCATGTGGTAGATGAAACGATGATGTCTCATGATGTCATCTCTTAACAAAAGCATTAATCATACCATTATTAACGGTAGTATATCCATATAAGACCAAATCACGCAGCCCAGTGATGTGCAACAGCTCCTGGAACCAAGGCTCGACGGATAGTTCCAGGCAACTGATCTTCCTAGCATGGTTAATTATCTTGAGTGGATTGCGGTCTTGCATGCATAGATAAATCCCCAAGAATTAAATGAACATAATACTTAACAAAAAAATAAACACAAGATATAATAATTGTTAAATTAAAGTCCATACCTCTTTGTCCCATAAGTATCTGGCAACATGATCCGGATACAACGTCAGTAATGAAAAATCAGAAGGTCCTCCTCCAAAAACCTGAGGCGCCTTTGGTGCCGCCTCTGATGCAGGTTGTGGATGGGCTTCTGATGCAGGCTGTGAATGGGCCACCGGTGCAGACTGGGTGGCCTCTGGTGTCTGTTGAGTGGGAATCGGTGTAGGCTGGATCAGAGCAGGTGTCAGCAAGGAAGAAGAAGTCTCTCTTGTCTCAAAGACCATAGGGCGTCCTTGGGAGGAAGGAGGTGGAGATGTATGGATTAAATATGGTGTAGTCTGTGGATGGAAACCGAATGTCTCTCCTGGTGCGGATACCTGCGTTGAAGACGTATGTCTGTAGGAGGATGGAGGCGAAGATGGATGGACAGGAGACTCTCACTTGTTGGTCGACATAGTGGAAGTAGAAACACCATCGACAATGGGCGCATCCAGTACAACCTGTCTAGGAGCCTGAAAAGCCTGGGTCCTTTCTCTACGCACAGAAGCATGCTGTGAAAGTCTCTCGTGTCGCAATCTGGATGGTCTCTCATCCATAATAGCTGTAGAATAAACGAAACAAGTATTAAATAATAACACTCTTGTACATAAAATAGGAGAAAACTTTATGATGCATAATCGAAAGTATACTTCTGATTTTAGTCAAGAACAAAATCGGAAATACACTTCTTGTACGATCTGCAACTTAACGGGTTTGTCAATGGCAAAACTGACCCCAATGAGGACAAAAAAAACAAGTATTGATCGTCAAAAAGACATGGCTAACACTTCCGTGTTGACTTTAAACATTGCAAAAACTTTAAAAAAACTACATTTTACTATCCTAAAACACAATTTGTATGTAAAATAAATAAATAAAAAACTCAATAATGCTCAAAAATAACTTACAATGATTGATTCTCCTTGGTTGATTACGATAATGCCTGATGATTTTCTTATGTGTTGCGATAAATTGATGAATTTTGAAACAATGAGTATTTTGGAACAATGGAGTTTTGGGAGGTTTTGTGTTTTGTTTGTGTTTGTGTTTGCAACAAATGAGGAAGGGGGAGAGGTAACGCGGGTATATATCAAAATATAAATCAAAAATACACTTACGGTTTAGAATCGATGTTGCATCCTAATTTGTATCAACGTGTAGGGTGAGATCTTACAGTGTAATTATTTAGTCCATTTAAAGTAAAATACAACATTGATTTGGAGACCATAAATATAATTTTAATTTGTATGTTTTTTTTATAATAAAATACATACCGTACATTTCCGATTCATAAGGCATATTCAAAAATTCAAACTAGTGCCTAACAAACTTAAAATGCATTAAAAAATTCTCATATCTTATCCCTACAAGCAGGGTCTGCCATTTACCTGCGCACGAACATAAGAAAAATAAAAGAACACTCTATTTCAAAATATAAGTGATAGTGAGAGTACGCTTCGCCGCATGTGAAGGAGACAGATACAATGTCATCAGGAGGATGATCGAGATATACTTTTATTTTATCTTTTTTTCCTTTATAATAATAATTATCAAACTAAATGATGATTGAGTTATCACTTATCATCACAAATCTATTTCTTTAACCAAATATAATAATTTTATCAAATTAAAGGAATAAGCATACAATTTATAATTTCAAATACATTTGTAAATAAAAAACAAAGAATTTCTTTTATTAAATCATTATCCTTTGTTTAATGTTTTTTTTAACTAAAAGTCTAAATTAATTATTAATTCCTAATTTTCTTTATTTAAGAAAATTCATTTTCTAAGTACTAATTTAATATCAATAAAAAATATTAATTTAATAATTTATTGTAAGAATATAATTTTATAACAAGACTATTAATAGATCGCTACAGAATTAATCATCAAGAGATACAATAAACATAATAATTAATATATATATATATATATATATATATATATATATATATATATATTTTGACACGTTATTTTAATTATTTAAATTATAGATTTTTTAAAATTAAATCAGAGCCTTTCGATTGATTGGGTCGGCCCTACGCCTCATGCTTGAAGGAGTATACATGTTTCAAAATTCAGGTCAGGTTTAACCTCAAATTCAAGATAGTTCTCCCCGGTTTCAAGGCATCCTATGGAACGGGACCAAATTGCATCAACAAGCTGGCGCATCAGATCGATAACTAGTACGCCTCGACACATAAACATGGTCTCAAAGACATTAACAGCTATAAATGGCTAGTGTGAGGTAATTGATTCATATTGATTGACCTCAAAAGACAAAGATGTTTATGATCCGTCAATTGGTCTTATAGAGACTAAGCCTACAAGACCATATATAAAGTAACAAACTTAGAAGAAAGGGATATTCTCTTCCAAACGACTTATACCTAAAGTGACACTGCAATGCTAACTGGCCTGACACAGAGCTATCGACTAGTGTAGTCAACGTTTTCAAGTATTAACCATAATGACAAAAAAGTTGAAAGTATTTAACATATGAGCATAACCATGCACAACTTAACAAGTAGAAGCAAGAACTTAATCCAAACAAGTTAACAAATTTCTTCCACACGCGATAAACAAGTAACCAGTCTTTAATAAACATATTCAATACAACACATTTCATGCGAAAATGTCTTTTAATAAAAGGCATTAAGCAATAAGCATTAAAAAGAACTTACACTTAACACCAACCGTCATCATAATGTCTCCCAAACTACAAAGCATAAACAGCAGATAACTAGAATCATGATCATCAAATAAATAGTATCATGATCGATTACTAAATTACAAATAGTAACTAACAAACACTACATGACTATTAAGTTCAATTCTGATGAAGATTTTGAAGAGGTAGCCTCTTGGCAAACTTATTCCTTAACACGGTCGAGCTAAAGTCTTCCTTCTTGTCAATTTTAATGTTCTCTTTCATATCACTGTCTCTTGCTGCAGGTTTTTGAGACGAATTCATTCCAATCCTCATCTTTTTATGCATCATGGATGATTCATGGAGCTTGGGAGTAAAAATGATGTTTTTCTCTCCACTTGCAATTGGTGTACCAGTTGATGATGAGTCCAATTTCTCTTGATAAGCATCTTCATCTTCAGAAGCAGTGTCTAGAAATCAAGGTTTACAAAAAATATCAATTCATTGTTACATAGAAAGACAAAGTCACTTGTTTCAGAGAAAAAACACAGGGCAGTGCAATTGCAAACACGACTGCGATTTATCACATTTGTTGAATACCATAAACAATTTAAACTCCTACCTTGAGCAAAAAGTTGTTCAAGGCCGAAATCAGGTGACTCCATTTCACTAGATTGTGCCACAGCTGGAAAAAGCTCATCTGCTTTCACTTCCTCATCTGGACTCGCACCACTAGTAACATCCACTTCACTCATTTTCCTTTTCCGGCTCACCGAACAAGCTTGATTTTCATCTTTGGATCCATCTAGACCAATATCATCATGAACATCAGAGGTGTCAAAAAACTTGCTTAGGGTAGTGCATTTGTTGAATACCATAAACACTTAAAATTTAAACTCCTACCTTGAGCAAAAAGTTGTTTAAGGCCAAAATCACGTGACTCCATTTCACTAGATTGTGCCACAGCTGGAAAAAGCTCATCTGCTTTCACTTCCTCATCTGAATTCGGACCACTAGTAACATCCACTTCACTCATTTTCCTTTTCCGGCTCGCCGAACAAGCTTGATTTTCATCTTTGGATCCATCTAGACCAATATCATCATGAACATTAAAGGTGTCAAAAAACTTGCTTAGGGTAGTGCATTTGTTGAATACGATAAACACTTAAAATTTGAACTCCTACCTTGAGCAAAAAGTTGTTTAGGGCCGAAATCACATGACTCCATTTCACTAGATTGTGCCACAGCTGGAAAAAGCTCATCTGCTTTCACTTCCTCATCTGAATTCGCACCACTAGTAACATCCACTTCACTCATTTTCCTTTTCCAGCTCGCCGAACAAGCTTGATTTTCATCTTTGGATCCATCTAGACCAATATCATCATGAACATCAAAGGTGTCAAAAAACTTGCTTAGGGTAGTGCATTTGTTGAATACCATAAACACTTAAAATTTAAACTCCTACCTTGAGCAAAAAGTTGTTTAGGGCCGAAATCACGTGACTCTATTTCACTAGATTGTGCCACAGCTGGAAAAAGCTCATCTGCTTTCACTTCCTCATCTGAATTCGCACCACTAGTAACATCCACTTCACTCATTTTCCTTTTCCAGCTCGCCGAACAAGCTTGATTTTCATCTTTGGATCCATCTAGACCAATATCATCATGAACATCAGAGGTGTCAAAAAACATGCTTAGGGTAGTGCAATTGCAAACACGACTGCGATTTATTTATCATATTTGTTGGATACCATAAACACTACAAATTTAAACTCCTACCTTGAGCAAAAAGTTGTTGAAGGCCAAAATCACATGACTCCATTTCACTAGATTGAGCCACAGCTGGAAAAAGCTCATCTGCTTTCACCTCATCTGAATTTCCACCACTAGTATCATCCAGATCACTCATTTTCCTTTTCCGGCTCGTCAAATAAGCTTGGTTTTCATCAGAGGTGTCAAAAAACTTGCTTACTCGCTGCGCTGAAATGCAAACCTCCTGATTGTTTTCTTTTTCAATCATGGCAATATCCATCTCTTCCTCCTGATTGTTTTCTTCTTCAATCATGGGAATCTCCCTCTTTTTACGCATCAAGGATGATTCATTGAACTTAGGAGTAAAAATAAGGCTTTTCTCTCCACTTGCAATTGGCGTAGCCTTTGATGGTGAATTTTGACAAGCATCTTGATCTCCAGAAGCAGTGTCTAGATATAAAGGTTTACATGAATATCAATTAATTCTTATATAGAAAGGCATTCATACAATATTTTATCAAAAAATGATCTGCAACCACAAATGAATTTAACTGCAACTAATAACCATGTTATCATTTTTACTTCAACTAATAACCATAAAAGAATATAGATCCCATATTTTCCTGACAGGTCAAATTTATATATAGAACTTTTTAAAATGTCATTGTTAGGATTGTTTTTGAAATTACACAGTTTCAGAAAGTAAACCGGACAATGCAAATGCGACCTCGCCTGCAATGTAACACATTTGTTGAGTTCATAAACACTTGAATAGAAATTGAAATGCACTCCTTACTCAATTAAACCTCTACCTTGAGCAAAAAGTTGTTGAAGGCTGAAACTGTATGAATCAATTTCGCTAGATTGTGGCATAGTTGGAACAAGCTCGACTGCTTTCCCTTCCTCCTCTGAACTTGCACCACTAGTATCATCCGTGTCACTTCTTTTTCTTTTCTGGCTCGCCGAGTAAGCTGGATTTTCATATTCATCTCCAAAAACGGTGTCTACAAATAAAGGTTTACATGAACATCAATTAACTCTTATATAGAAAAGATCATTTGTAAAATAGAAGGGGATGTAAACCATCAAATTCGAGCTGGGTGGTTGAAATGGAGAAGGGCATCAGGTGTTTTATGTGATGCAAAGGTACCGCTCAAGCTGATGGGAAAAAAGTTTTATCGAACTGCGGTAAGACCTTCCATTTTGTACGTGACAGAATGTTAGGTGAGAATAAAGTGTAGCAAAGATGAGGATGTTGCGGTGAATGTGTGGTAAGACTCAACAGAATAAAATTAGAAATAGAAATGAAAATATTAGAAAGAGTGTCAGGGTAGCGCCTATAGTAGAGAAGATGGTGAAAAATAGACTTAAGTGGTTTGGGCATGTAGAGAGAAGACATGTAGATTCTGTAGTAAAGAGAGTAGGCCAGATGGAGAGAAGACAAACAACTCGAGGAAGAGGAAGACCTAGAAAGACTACAAGAGAAGTTATTAAGAAAGTTCTCGAGATTAATGATTTGGATAGAAGCATGGTCCTTAATAAAACATTCGGTCGAAACAGATTTAACAAATTTAGAAATTTTTAAAATGTCAAAACATTGTTACTGAAAATGTTGTTTCAGAAAATAACCAGGGCAATGAAATTGTGACCACGACTATGATTTAACTCATTTCACGAATACATAAACACTTGAACAGAAACTGGAATGTTGCCTACTCAAAATTTAAACTACCTTGAGCAAAAAGTTCTTGAAGGCCAAAATCGCATGACTCCATTTCACTAGATTGCGGCACAGCTGGAACAAGCTCATCTGCTTTCACTTCCTCATCTGAATTTGCACCACTATTATCATCTTCTGCTCCTCCTCGACCTATATCCTCCAGATGGTTTTCTTCCTCCATCATGTTAGTTTGCATGCTTCCTTCCAAGTTACAAGTTTCCATAACATCGCCAAGTGTAGTTGATTCAAAATATGTTTCAGCCTCAGAGCCTTTAGTAGTTGAAGCTTCAAGGTCATTGAGGGAAAATCCAAAGCATTCCTCAGGATCAGCAACCATACAAGTCTTTTCTGATGACTTCAGCATCTCTTCTTCACATGCTTCTGCAGAAAGAGTGCAATAAAATATTATTTATGGGTTCCTACTTATATACAAAAACTATGTATACCGATATACCACCTCCGTTCCTTTTTATAAGAGACAACTCACTTTTTAGGTTCATTGAATAATCAATGTATGTAGTCTATAAACAGACCAAACAGACCAAATACATTGGTTATTCAATGAATATAAAAATTGACTTGTCTCTTATAAAAAGGAAAAGAGGTAGTATTTAAGAACCTAAACTGCATTATACCTAGAGCAGCCATTGGATAAATACTAAGATCAACTTCTTCATCGTCACTCATGACCACTCGATCAACTTGCTCCTTATCGACACCAAGCAGTTCGGTGGATGAACCAATCATTTTCTCTGGAGTAGGACTTAAACTCATCTTTGGTGCAGATTCAAACTTCACTCCACTTGTATCTGCATTTTTAGTAGCAGTAGCTGAAAAATATCAAGATTAGAGAGATTATACACTCATTCCTATAAAAATAATGGTTACAAGGTTAAGAATCTTGTTAATATATGTCTATACATGGCTAATCATCAATTATTTGGGTGGAAAAATAAATTTACCTGTTTCAAACATTTGGTGAACATCGAGATCACTAGTCTCTGCTTCCCTTAAGGGATCAGTAGGCTGAAACTGAACTGGTGACCCAGCTGATTCTGCAACACTAGTTGAAAGAACCTCATTTAGAAGATCTCCACCAGTCCCATAGGTGTTCAAATCAGTATTTATGTTCGATCCTTGAGTGCTATTTCTGCCACCTGGGTTAACAGATCCAGGAACATTTTCAAGAAGATCAAATTTATCATCCACATTCGCAACTTCATCCTCCATCAAATTTTTACCAAGTTCTTCTGAAACAGCCCGTATAAGATCCTCATTGTCGCTCATGACCATTGCACTAGGTTCTGCATGCTTAGCATCTTCATTGGGATCAATGTTCTCCTTATTGACACCAATCTCCAAGTTTTCCTCCAAACTACAAAATCCAATATCACCATTTGTTGGTGAGCCTGGATTATTGAACAGTTTGGGAGAAAACTCCATCATTTTCTCTTGGCTAGGATCAACTTGCTCCTTATTAGCACCAATCTGCACGCTCTCTTCCACATTACAAAATACAACATCTCTTGGGGTCGCTGAATTATTTAGCAGCTTGGTAGATGAACCAACTATTTCCTTTGAAGCTGGACTTGTACTCATCTTTTGTGATGATTCAAACTTTGCTCCACTTGTGTATGCACTTTTAGTAGCAGTGCCTAAAATATCAAGGTTAGAGATTATAAACTCATTGGTATTAAAAAATGTTAAAAAGATTAAGAAATATTTCTAAGATGTACACTATGACCACGAAATCATTTGGCTAAACAAAACAAATTACCTGTGACAACCATTTCGTCAGCATCAAGATCACTAGCTTATACATTAATTCCAATAAAACAACTATATCACTTGCTTATGTTGAGGTGGAAGAAATGTTCAAAAAAAAATCCTACTTATATACTAGCAGAAAGACACACGTGATCGTGCTTGTTTGTCACCAATTTTTTATTTTATTTACAATTATGACAATAATAATTTTTATATTGCCTTCAAAAATAGTTGTATTTGTAAATTATACACATCAACAATCACAAACTATCAATAACTTTCAAAAAACTTCCATTTACCTGAATCAATCATGTCATGAACATTATGATCACTAGGTGTTGCAGGCTTTACTTCCCAGGCATCTGCATTTCCAGCAGCAGTACCTAAAATATAAAGGTTTAAGATATTTAAACAAGGTTTATGAGAAAAGTCGTGGATAAATTCGATTTGTCAGAGTTCAATTGTTTAATTTCCAAATTCGATTTGTCTTCACCTGAAACTTGATATTATTTTATGGATTCTTACTTATATATAAAAAATATGAATACCGATATATTTAACCCAAACTGCATTTTACCTAGAGCATCCATTTGATAAGTACTGAGATCAAGCTCTTCATCGTCACTCATGATCACAAAACTACGTTCTGCACGCAGAACTTCATCACTAGGATCAATGTTCTCTTTATTGGCACCAACCCACAAGTTTTCATCAACATTAAGCAGCTTGGTAGATGAATTAATCATTTTCTCTGGAGTAGGACTTAAACTCGTCTTTGGTAAAGATTCAAACTTCACTCCACTTGTATCTGCATTTTTAGTAGCAGTAGCTGAAAAATATCAAGATTAGAAAGACTATGCACTCATTCCTATAAATCATTGGTTACAACTTACAAGGTTAAGAAATCTTGCTAATATATGTCTATACATGGCTAATCATCAATTATTTGGGAGGAAAAATCAATATACCTGTTTCAAACATTTTGTGAGCATCGAGATCACTAGTCTCCGCTTCCCTTAACGGATCACTAGTCTCCTCATTCTTGCTAATGACCATCGCACTAGGTTCTGCATGTATAACATCTTCATTGTGATCAATGTTCTCCTTATTGACATCAATCTCCAAGTTTTCCTCCATCAATTTGTTACCAAGTTCTTCTGAAACAGTCTGTAAAACATCCTCATTGTGGCTCATGACCAAAGCACAAGGTTCTCCCAGCATAACATCTTCATTGGGATCAATGTTCTCCTTTTTGACACCAATCTCCAAGTTTTCCTCCAAACCACAAATTCCTATATCATCCTCCATCAAATTGCTATCAAGTTCTTCTGGAACAGCCTGTATAAGATCCTCATTCTTGCTAATGACCATTGCACTAGGTTCTGCATGCATAACATCTTCATTGTGATCAATGTTCTCCTTATTGACACCAATCTCCAAGTTTTCCTCCATCAATTTGTTACCAAGTTCTTCTGAAACAGTCTGTAAAAGATCCTCATTGTGGCTCATGACCAAAGCACAAGGTTCTGCCAGCATAACATCTTCATTGGGATCGATGTTCTCCTTTTTGACACCAATCTCCAAGTTTTCCTCCAAACCACAAATTCCTATATCATCCTCCATCAAATTGCTATCAAGTTCTTCTGGAACAGCCTGTATAAGATCCTCATTCTTGCTAATGACTATCGCACTAGGTTCTGCATGCATAACATCTTCATTGGGATCAATGTTCTCCTTATTGACACCAATCTCCAAGTTTTCCTCCATCAATTTGTCACCAAGTTCTTCTGAAACAGTCTGTATAAGATCCTCATTGTGGCTCATGACCAAAGCACAAGGTTCTGCAAGCATAACACCTTCATTGGGATCGATGTTCTCCTTATTGACACCAATCTCCATGTTTTCCTTCAAACCACAAAGTCCTATATCACCATTTGTTGGTATCCCTGGATTATTAAACAGTTTTGGAGAAAACTCCGTCATTTTCTCTTGACTAGGATCAACTTGCTCCTTATTAGAACCAATTTGTATGCTTTCTTCCACATGATGAAATACAGTATCTTTTGGTGACACTGAATTATTTAGCAGCTTGGTAGATGAACCAACTATTTCCTTTGAAGCTGGACTTATACACATCTTTTGTGACAACTCAAACTTTGATCCACTTGTATATGCATTTTTAGTAGCTGTGCCTAAAATATCAAGGTTAGAGATTATAACTCATTTGTATTAAAAAATGTTAAAAGGTTAAGAAATATTTCTAACATGTACACCATGACTATAAGTTATTTGGATAAACAAAACAATTTACCTGTAACAACCATTTTATCAGCATCAAGATCACTAGTGTCGACTTTGCTTAATGGATTAGTTTTGAGAAACTGAACTGGAGTCCCATCTGAATCTCCAAAACTAGACGAATGAACCTCATCTAGAGTATTCTGAACATTTACATTGGTGTTATCTTCAGTACTTTTTGCACCCGGTGATGCATCAAGGTAGGTTGTAGCAGCTTGGGATATTGCACAATGATAATCACCTAATTTGGGAACTTGTTCAACTGATCCTTGATGGACATCAGTATCTTCATGAATATCAGTACTTTCACTCGATGTCTGAAAATCTCTCAACATAAAATAGTTACCAAACCCTTCTAAACCAAGTGGAGAAGGGGTTAGATCTGTTTCCTTATCAATTAAATCTCCTGCCCTCACATCGGTCTTCTCATTAGAATCCTTCTCAGCAACAGTATCTAGATATATAGAGTTTAAAAAATTATAAATAAACTATATTCAGATAAAAACACAAACCAAAGACAAAACTAATATAGAACTTGATATACCTGAAGCTTCCATTTGAGCATCAGTATCATTGTCAATGTCCGATTCTGTAATTTCCAAATTCGATTTGTCTTCATCAGATCGTATCGGGCATGACATGAGATTATTAAGGTCACTGGAATTGACCTCATCAGTAAGCTTCACATCTGTTGATGCATCAAGGCACATATCAACAATCACAAACTACCATTAAATTTAAAAATAAAAATAAATAAATAACTATACCTGAATCAACAATGTGACAAATATTAAAATCACTTGGTGCTGGTAACTTCATTTCACAGGCATCGGCATTTCCAGCAGCAATGCCTAAAATACATATGTTTGAGATTTTAAAAAAATATTCCAACAAAATTAAACATAACACTTTAAAATCCAAAAACTTCCATATACCTGAATCGTCCGTGTGAGGAACATTAAAATCAGATTTGACTTCACTTAATGGAGAACTGGTTAGAACTTGATCTGGTTCCTCATCAAGTAAATGTTCAGCAGCACTCACATTGGTTTTCTCATTACATTCCTTCTCAGCAACAGTATCTAGAATTACAAATTTGAAAAACTATATAAATAAACAAATACTTATAAAAACAAAAATCAAATACAAAACTAACATAGAATTTGATATAACTAAACCTTCCATTTGAACATCAGAATCACTGTCAGAGTCCAATACTATAATTTCCACATTCGAATTGTTTGCGTCAGATCGTAACCGGCGTGACCCGGGATTCTCATTTTCTTCTTCCTGTTTGCACAAGTAAAACAAACCAACAACTAAGTAAAGAAATAACTCAAGAGTAAAGACTATTTTAAGCCCCCAAATACAAGATACAGTGTAAAAAAAAATCTGCAAAAAAATACTTAGCAAAATTTTAACAACAAAGTTAGTAATTATCAAGTTTCATATATTATCAGAGCGAATAAGGTTCATTATCAAAAATAAATAAAACTGTCGAAAACTAAAACAGATCACGAAAAGTGATTAATCAAAAAAAAAAAAAAATCTTTAAACTAGTTTCTGTTCCTAACAATCAAGTCAAAAGGGGAAAACATGATTTTTCCAAACCCTAGAATTATATTTACCCTTAACAATTCTTATTTCAGCCATCAAAATTCAAAACAAGGACACCTCTGAAGGCGTGTCTGTGTATGTGTCAGACACTTGCACCGACACTTGTAATTATGTGAAACTTACGTTTAATTTACATTTAATTTATTCATTTATTCAAATTATTATCGATGTGACTGTGTTAGTGTCTGGGTTGAGTTCGGTGTGGCCGTGCTTCATAGAAAAAACAGAGAAAAAAGAGTGAAATGCGAAACCCTAACCTTGTAGATCAGAGAAAGTTTCTCTGCCATATCTTTATTCTTAAGATTAGCAGGAATACCGTGCTTCTTGCAGAGGCTTTGAAGCTTCTTCCTCTTCATGGTAAAGAAATCCATCTTTTCTTTTCGGTTTGCGTAGGAAAAAATCGCAGCAGTTTTGGGAATTTTTGAGAGCGTTTGAGAGAGGAAAGAAAGTGAAATGGAAAGGTTTGTGGAATTTGAAATTTGAAAAGATGAAGAAATGCCTAAGTTTCCCGCTGTTGTTGGAACTTATTAACTGTATTGGATTTTTTTTTCGGGTACGGTTTTATAGTCGTTATAGGGGTGTTTGTTTTGAGAGTGTTAGGAGAGGAAGAAAGTGGTGTGAGAGAGAGTTATGGGAGAAATGGGTTTCTTCTTTTGTTTGGTTAGGTAGTGAAATAGAGATGAGAAAACAAAAAAGTGGGTCTATTTATAAAGAGTTTAAAGGTATTGCACATAGATTTGTTCAAAGAAAATGGTAGTGCACATACAATCAATAAAAAAATTTATACTTGTCATATTATATTAGGATTTTAAAAATAAATGTGTGTTTTAATTGGGTATATGTTTATTATGGTTGAAAGCGTAAAAATATTTTATATTGCCTGTGTATTTTTTTTTTCATTTTTAAATCTGTAATTTGGATTTTTATTAATTTATAAATTTTGATCATGTGTTTTTAATTTGTATTGTTAGTTATTTATTTGATAAAATTACATAAGAGGTCCTTTAAATTATTTTTTATAATAGATTGGTCTCTTAAGTTTTTTTTAACAACTTAGTCCTTTAGGGTGATTTCTACCTTCTTTTTCTCACATTTTAAATATTTAGAAATGTTGATTATTGTATTTCTGATTGCATTTCATCATTTTCATACCATTCAAAACAATTACATCCACAATTATCATCTTTTCTATGTTAAAAAAGGGTAACAGTGCACATATTTAATAACTTAAATGACCATGTTGTTGCAAAAAAAAAAACTCAAAGGATCAACTTGTTACAAACAAATAATTTAAAGGACCTCCAATATATTTTTTACCTATTTATTTTTTTAATTTTAAAAACTGAACCTTACATTAAAGAAAAGATAGTATTATAATTGATTTTGGAGGATATTTTTGGTTCACGAATGACAGTGGGAATTTAGATATGATTGTAAATTTCGTTTAAAATCTTTAACATATAGTGGGTAATTGTGTCTAATGCTCCTGGTGTGTTCATGAAGTATATGAACAAGGTTTTAATTCATTCATATTTGGATAAGTTTGTTGTGGTGTTTATCGATGATATTCATATTTATTCGAAGACGATGAGGAACATGTTGAACATTTGAGGGTTTTGTTGGAGTTGTTGCAAGAGAAGCAAATTGTATGCTAAGTTATCTAAGTGTGAGTTTTGGTCAAGAGAATTGAGTTTTCTTGGCCATGTGATTTCTAGTGAAGTTATTGTTGTTGATCTGTCGAAGGTTGAGATTATATTGTAGTGGGATACTCTGAAGTCTATCATTAAGATCCAAAGGTTTCTTGGGTTAGCTGGTTATTATCGTTGGTTCATTGAAGGATTTTCCAAATTGACCCTGTCATTAACTCAGCTAACTAGGAAGGGTTGGGCTTATGTTTGGGATGTGAAATGTGAAGAGAGTTTCCAAGAGCTTAAGAAAAGGTTGATATTGACTCGAGTGTTGATTCTGCCGAGTCAAACTGAATTTTTTATCGTGTATTATGATGCTTCTAAGATGGGTCTAGGAGATGTGTTGATGCAGAATGGACAAGTTATGGCTTATGCTTCGAGACAACTTAAATTTCATGAGAAGAATTATCCTACACATGATTTAGAGTTTGATGTCGTTGTGTTCGTGCTTAAGATTTGGAGCCATTATTTGTTTGATACTAGATTTGAAGTGTTCAGTGATCATAAATGCTTGAGGTATTTGTTCGATTAGAATGAGTTGAATATGAGATAGAGGACATGGCTCTATTTGTTGAAGTATTATGATTTTGGTCTGAATTAGCAACCTAGTAAAGCCAAATGTCATAGTTGATGCATTGAGTCAGAAGGTGTTGCATATGTAGACATTGATGGCTAGAGAGTTGGAGTTTATCGAAGAATTTAGAGATTTAAGTTTGGTTTGTGAAGTCACGCCGCAGAGTGTGAAGTTGGGTATGTTGAAGCTTTCCATTGGTGTTCTTGAGGATATTAAAGAAGGTCAGAGGTATGATTTGAGACTAGATCGATTAGCCTTAGTTAATCAAGGTCAAGTAGGTGATTTCAAAATTGACGAGAGTGGTGTTATGAAATTTTGTGGTCCAGTATGTGTTCTGGATGTACCATAACTTAAGAAGAGTATTCTTGAGGAATGACACCAAAGTCGCTTGTGTAACACCACATTTTTACCCAACGAATTACATAAAATCAGAGTTATAAAAATTTCCAACAAACAAATGGAATGCTACACTTTCAACTTAAAACTACGATATTCAATCAGCTATAGTTCAAATACACAACACATGAGCTTTGGATGAACCGATAACAACCTGCTTAGTCTTTAAAAATAATAACAACTTTCATTACTACGCAGCGAATTCACAAAATTCAACTGAAAACACCATAACATCTTATCCAACTCAAAACAATTCTAAGACAACAAGTCTTTTAATGAAAACAACTTAAAAATTCAGCAACATAATGAAAATCAACAATAAGGAAAACATGCGTTCATCCCCCTGAGTGCTACGTATCAGAGAGACAACACCGACTCGAACTAACAAGGGTAACAGCTAACCTTCTTGATTACCTGCACATTACCAACAGAGGGCAACATTCAAACAGAAGGGGTGAGATATCGAACCATATAATCGAATATACAATAAATAATATATTAGTATTAGATCATACAATTCACCACTTCACAGCTTTTTATCACATTCAACATAATTAATTCATCCACACGACAACTCAGAATGCAACACGAAATGCGACTCGTCTTTATGCACATGCATGTGGTACCAATGGAGCAGAACTCCCAACTTAGAAATCTGCCAATAAATAGAGACATAAGCCTTCAACTTTATATTTGTCAATTCAGGCCAACTTGACGAGCATCAGCTCTAACATGATATGTTATGTATGCATTAACCACATGAACATAATAACAACAACAACAACAATAATTCAACATAATTCAACGTTTCCATAAGCCTGCAACTTAATATTTTGCCCATAAATAGAGGCAATGAAATCACCTGCAAATTCACATTTTTCAACAAAAATGCCACCCAAGAGATCAACCAAAATTACTACAATAAACCGCATAATTATTCGGACTATTTTTGCTGAAATCGGTTAATTAATTATCGACCAAAAATCATATTATTTCTACTTTATAAATCCTACAAAATTATTTATTAAAGATGTTAAATCATTATTATTAAATATTTTATATTGTAAACCGGAACGTAGTAGCTACGGTATACCAACATTTCTCCTAAATGCTACTTCCTTATTGCGCTACAGTAGCAAAACAATGGGTTACCAATGCTACTTCATTATATGCTACAGTAGCAAGCAAGTGCCTCCAAGTGTTACTTACACAAGTTCGTTACAGTGTTGCGAAACAAGTACCTTTAGATAATAATGTATTTCATTGCTACAGTGTTGCAACATTCATCCTTTAAACACTACTTTCCATATTCGCCACAGTATGCAATTAATCCTCCTAAATACTATTTCGCAAATATTGCTACAGCAAGCAGGGCAAGTACCTTTGATGCTACTTCAATCTTGTATCACTACAAAATTGAAGCCATTTACCATTAAATACTTCTTATGTCATCGCTACAGTATCAAAACATGTGCCTCTACATACTACTTCATTTTATCCTATGCGCTACAGTAGCAAAACATGTGTCCTAAATATGACTTCTTCCATCGCTACTATATCCAAAACGATTCCTTCTATATACTACTTTATATATATTCGATGTAGCAAGCAACTACTCCTAAGCGCTACTCACAGTATCACTTCAATATGCCAATTAATTGCTCTAAATGCTACTTCAATCTCATCGCTACTGTAGCAAAACGATTACCCTTATTTGCTACATAATTCTAGCGCTACAGCAAGCAAAACCAATGCCATTAAATATTAATTAAATTCATCGCTACAGTATTCCAAACAATTCCTTTGATTGCTACTTTATTTTCTATGCGCTACATTAGCAAAATATGGGATTTTGCAAAGAAAATACTAAAGTGCTCATATATATGTATATCTAATTACATTGGGTCCTAAATCATCTCTCAATTTCATCAATATATCAATTTCAAACACAATTAGAAATAATTTTTCATAACCCAAATTCACACACTATTAATCATACACCCTATTATAGAGTCAGAACCCCACTCTTACCTTAGATTAAGAGTATCTCTAAGAGACTTCAACCGAATTTTTAGGGAATTTGGCACTAGAAGCAATTTTTCCTCTTCTTCTTCTTCTCCCCTTACAAACCATATTTCCCTCTTTTTCTTCTCTTCCTGATAACAATACTCTCTCCTATTCTTCTATTTATATTCTAATATAATATATTATTATATTAATCCAAATAAATCCAATTGGGCCTAAATGCTACACCCCACTTTTACTACACAACACCACTAATTAAGCTCAATATCATATTAAGCTTAAAATAACACTTTAACTTAATTCCACCAAATTAAATTTGATTAATTATTATTCCAACTTAATAAAATAATTCCGACTTCGACGATAAAAATTTGAATTAATAAAAAAAAAATTCAAAAATATTTAATTAAATAAATAATTAAATACCGGGGCGTTACAACTCTCCCCCACTTAGAATATTTTTGTCCTCGAAAATAAAAGTTTACCTGGTTCAAATAACTCAGGATAGGAGTCTCGCATCTTACTCTCCAACTCCCAGGTCATGCTCTCACCAACAGCACCTAACCAAACAACTTTCACCAATGCAATCTCTTTTCCTCTTAGAATCTTCATCTCGCGATCTGCGATTCTCACAAGCATCCTCTCCATCATGAGATTATCCCGTACTTGCACATCGTCCATCTGAATC